TACTATATGCTTCTGAGGTGAATGAATTTGAGAAGCTCTCCACTGACAGGCAGTTCGGAAATAACTTTACTACCCTCTGGTTAGCAGCAGATAGAAGACACATCATTCGAATGCGTGTTTCCATTTTTCGGAACATTTTTCCACTGGCGATGTTTAAAATAGCACAGTTGACTGACATTTCCGCAGAGGTGGTGTTTTGTTTTACATTGGCAGATTAAGACAACTATCAACATCATTAACACTAATCGGCTGGAAAATCAGTCTCAACATATTTTATATGCACATATCCGTCATCTTGGGTGGGACAGAGTGTTATATTTTATTTCAAAATAGCTGTCATTAATTGAAGTTAATTTATCGTCTCATTGATTACGTCCTTAGCTTTGCAGAGGTCCCTAACCAAGAGCACGAAATTGTGGAACAACTGCTTCCGAATGACCAATTAGAAAACTCGGAAGAAACAGAGCCCCGCCAAAATAAAACTCTGCAACAACTGCAGACTTCCGATCAGCAACATGTTTTACAAATCCAGCAGACCATCTGTCAATCACAGCAACCACTTGAGTTGTATGTGGATGGTTTCAGCGCTGCAATCACCTCGGAGAACTTGAAGACCCACTTTGAACAATTTGGTGAGGTGCTCGAGGTGGAACTGTCTGTAGATGAATCAACAAACGCGCCCAGTGGAAATGCCTACATTACACTGCAACCGACAGTAGATTCCAACCAAATCCTCGAAACAGAGCACATTGTTTGCGGAGTGCCGATCAACGTTGACGAGTGTTATTCTTCCAGCGAATCTAATAGTAACTCAGAAAGGTGAGCATGCAAGAGATAGAATGGCTAGCTTTTACACCAACTTATGGCATATGCACACGATCACACCGAAATATTTAATATCTGACGGGAATTCTGGTACATATGGTTACTAACTGTTCAAAGAAGACATAATACAAATCATTCAAATGTGCGTATCCATGTTCGGAGCACTTTTTTAACGGCGATGTTTAAAATAGCTCAGTAGACTGACATTTCCAGCGATAAATCAACTTTTAACCTAATTAACGCTAATATGCCGGATTATCAGCCACAGTATATTTCATATGCGGCATATCTGTTACGCTGGGTGTGGCAGAATGTTAAATTTTAGAAGAGTAATTAGCGACCATACATAGCTTTCGATAAATTCTCCTTTATATAGAGAGGTGGTAAAAAGTAACATGTGGGCAGTTATGTTCATAATTACAGGCAAAGCAGTCATGGGAATAGGGAAAGGGTGATTGAGTTTAATGTACTCGGCTGGTTGCGGGATCATATTAATTACCTTAAAGGCTTTGTTGCAGTCCACACGATGTCCGGAGTCAACCCTGTGGCCTAGGATTGCGCTGTCTAAGCTTCTGACCTCACCTTTGCTCAGTCATGCCGGGAGATGCTTCCGTATTTTGTTGAATAAGTGCCGACTCGTGCGACCGCTATAACCTGCTCCACGGGAGCAAGTAAAAGATTAGGTGCACATAGAACTGTTCTGAGTTGGCAGCCCATACTTACATTCGCCATGCACGACGGGTTGGTCGAGAGTAAGACCCGAACTTTCGCTGCTGGTAAGGTTCGTGGTGCGGCTTGGTTGAGGCGTCTGCATAGGAGTTCGCTTGCCGCATTTCCCTGAAAGGGGACGTTGAGGAATAGGGTCTTCTTTTCCACAGTGGGTGTGGTGGGCTTTGTTTCTCTCTCCATCATATTCTTTATGCTGAATCTGTCCTCCCGAAGCAAATGGTGGATTTTCTAGAACCCCATTTCAATAGTGCCTGCCGAGCAGATTTGTTTGGCTCTACGTTAATCAGCGGATTATGTTACGCTTCTGTTGGATAGGTACAAAACTGTTAAAGTTTTTATACTATCCGAACCAGGTTTTCGTTCGGTAAACGCTGCTTCGGACGCTACCGTCAGGGCTTCGACATAGGAGGACATCCAAGAAGGGAAGCGAACCTGCCATCTCCATGCCCATGGTGAACTTAATGGAGGTGTGTGTTTGATCAACAGTATTTAGAAGCGCATTTACATCGGTATCTGCTAGAGCGATGGCGAGGACGTCATCGACATATCGACCGTAGTGTTTAACTCAGGGATCTGCTCGCTGACTTGTGATGTATACAGATTGCCGATGAAGATTTTAGCCAAGAGAGGCCCTAGAGGCGAGTCCATAGCGACGGTGTCTATTTATATATTATTATTTATTTATTAAATTTCAAAATAGTAGGGATTTCAATGGGTAGGGATTTTCTGTCTGAGCGAAAAGTATGGAATTCTCGCGGCCTAATTAGTTCCGACTCAATATCACTATTAAGCCAAGTCTCTTGAAAACAAATAACTGCTGACT